TAGTAGTAGTTGTTGTTGTTGTAGGGTAAGTTTAAGGGTAAGTGGAAAGGGAAAGTGGAAAGTGGTAGTGGCAGCTGTAGTGACGGGAATGAGGCTCTGAGTGCAAACCCTGTGGAAGGCTTGCGGCCTACTTTTTCGGCGGGAGGCTCCCGGCTTTGCAGAGAACTTATGTTGTGATATTGCAGAAAGTAAACCAGCTGGCTCTCGACGCCCCAGAGCGAACACACCCCAATCAATCGCTACATGTATTCTATTTCTATGGCCCTTCCAGCAGGTCCGCATTTAAGACACCCCGAAACTACACTGTAATTACCGCCAAACCCCGAACCCTGCTGCCTTCGGTTGGATGCCGGCTAACGCCGTTCAAGACAACGCCCGTCGAGGTTGAATTTGAACCCTTCGAGGACGTTTGCTTCCTTTCGCCGTTGCAGCTGGGATGCTTGGCAGACGTCTTGAACATATGGAATCATAACACAAATACCGCCACGCTATAGATTGACGTGTTCCGACTTGCAAGACTGCATCCTCGTATGCAAGTGGAGCAAGAGGAGCAACTGCATCAATGCAGTGAGGTGAATATTACTCCTGCAGTGGGCTATTATGTCTACAGGAAAACAACCCCTAACAACGTCGTCCATCTGTTTCTCGGCCCCCAGCACATCAACAATCGAGTTCCAGCGGCCTGACCACCTACCGACCCCAACATCCCTGAATCAAGCAAGCTTGCGGCCGGGGTGCGATATGCAGAACAAATCCTGAACCGCTAAGCCATGAACGCTCGGCACCCTGATCACGCGCTGGTTGAAAAGGTCGCAAACAACAGTAGGCGATAGGCACCCAGACAAGATATGCAATCGCACATCTCCAACCTGAAATATCCTAAGGACTTCCGACGTATCCTCGCGATCAACTTGAGCAAGCTGTCGACCTGGTGCTCTCGAAGCTCGGCGAGCTGCAGGAGCTTGCGACGTCAGAACCAAGCCTCATGAGCACAAACCATCCGTCTGATTGGGAACTAAGCAGAGGGTTCCCGTTAAGGGCTGGGTGCTTCTCTAGGGCCGCTAGAGTGCATGTATACATGTCTGCAATCCCTGGAAGTTCAGACCAACTGCTTCTTTCTGCCCTCAGACGAGTTCTTCATTCATCATCTCCGAGAACGGTTCTGACAACATCTTGCTACAGCGTTTACATCGACAGCCGCAGCCCCAACGGCAGGATCCCTGTCAAGAACCCCAGGCTCACACCACCAGGAAACCGGACCTTAAAGGCTGTACCCTAAACACAACAAACGGAGTAAAGAACGTGCGACAGGAGAAAGCCGAGAGGATCCACCACAGGGCGCATCTTTGCCGACAGTGGCGCAACGACCTCCGCAGGGCACTCTTCAGGTGCCTTGCGCTTTCCTTGGAAGCAGGCTTTTGGACTTTTGGAGGTGTTCGTTGTTCACAGCCTCGTGTCCAGATTGAGATATTTTGTTGCTGCATAGCACGTGCATGGTAAATATATGTATCCCAGTGAGCGGCCCCGGTAGTTGACATAAAGGGCTTGCACCATCACTGTACCCAACATGCAGAACCTCAAGGCCCGACAGCCTGGAGCCCCATATTCCTGCAGGCAGAGCCGCAAAGAATTGCAGGAGGACTTCGTCGAGGGCCTCTTTGGTGCCAGGGCATTTCATCTTTGGGAGGTGAAACCACGGGACGCTTTGACAAGGCACCGCAAGGCGTCTTTAAGTTCGGAATCGCGCCGTGTAGCGGTCAGGTCCCAGGTCTGAGAGCCACACGGACTTTTCGGAGTTCCGTCGCGGATCGTTTGGGGCGTCGCCGTGACGGCGGTGGCGATGGCACCTACCCGAGGTGCTGCGGTGTACATCGTGCAGCTGTCCGCTTATGCAAAGAACGGTGGCAAGGAGGAGTGCCAGAAGTTGAAGGACGCGGGATCAGGGGAGGTTTCAGTTTTTACGCTGTCTCTGCGTCATCCTTCTGGAGTCTCTTCGTCATCCTTCTGGACAGCGCCGGGATCTGCATGGATTACATGACAAGGTTCCGAAGCTAGGATGTATACAGGAATTAGTTATTAGGCTTCCGCTTAGCCCTCTAACTAGAGTGATATCTCGAGGATCATGTCAAGGCCTACCAATGCCCCCAACATCCAGCAGAAAGTCATGGAAACCTACACAAACGTCGTTGGAAAAGATGTAGAACGTTTGTTTACACGAGTAAAGACCGTGTTGAAACCTTTTGGAAGCCCTGTACTAACCAGAACGTTGCAAGGTGGGTCCCCACACCTCAGCTTGCGCGGTCCCTGGAGCCAAGCTCTAGACTTTTCTGACATCACCCTTTACCAGTCGCAGCACCGAGCCTGAATCCGAAGTCAGCGTGAACGCTGCAATGAGGCCTTTCAGAACCGATTAAGTCCGGCAGTTCCCAACAATTCACCCCACAACATTCCGACTCCCGCTCCACCCCTTGCCGACGAATTTTAAAGAGCTGCAAGTAGTGACGTAGTGTGCTGCGGCTGTTGCCGCTCACTGCAGATGCCAGCAGGCTCAAGCGGCCAAGGAGGCCTTGGTGGCCCTGTCGCCGTGCCTGAACCAAGAGCTCCGCTTGGAGAAGGCCCTTTGAAAAGTCCCGACTCCTAGGTTGAGTGAAGTAGGACACCCCTAAACCCTACACCTTAAACCCTAAACCTCAAACATGAAGGCGTCCACACGTGACAGGTTCAAAGATGCAAGGTGTTAAGGCTCCCGTCCTCGGTCTGCTGTGTGTGTCGGCATTCGAAAGAGGAACCTTGGAAGAAGCCCTGAGCCATGCGGTCCTACACACCTCCAACAGTGACCTGAAGTGAAATACTCTCGACTACGACCCACTTCCCAAACAACCAGGCGAGAGGTTCGCCGATTTTGCGTCCTGCGGAGATTTGGCAGCTCTTTGGGGACGAGGTGCTGCAGACCCTGCCGCCTGGATGCAGTCTGGCCTCAAAGTTCGGGGCTCCGGCAGCGGCCTCCTGAAAGAGTTTCAAGTTGGGGTCGAGCTCTGCGGCATCTCCGGCAGAGATTTGTAATGCTACGACATGATGGATCACTTACTCGCGAAATCTTGACATCTGCTAAGATCAGCATCGTTCTGTAGGCTTCCTACATCGCAGCCCGAACAGCAAGCCTTAAGCGGGAGCCTGCAGCCCTTGGACCGGCTGGTGTCGCTTGGTCTTTTCCCTGTTCCACTGGCCGTCAGCTTTGAGAAGGGCATCCGCGATCTTTCGGGAAGCACAATGAGTGAGTGCAGTAGACAATCAGAACCATGTAAATGTAAAGTCTAGGATGGGTTTCAGTTGCATATTGCACTGCAACCCGCAAGGTTCTATCTATCCAACACAACCTCTCTCCGAGCCAGAGCCCATGTTCTTGTGTCGTCAAATCCAGTAGGGCGCAATGGGTGTATATGTAACTATGTACATACTGCATAAGTGTCTGGTATAGTGCTATAGTATCAGAGAGGCCAAATCCTAATCGAACTCGAGTCCAGGTCTGCGGTGCTGCATGGGCCATGCCCCCACCGTCCGGAGGAGACCTTCCTCATCGATCCTGCAGATGTTCGATACTTGGCCGTCTGCCGGGTTGGAGGGGGGCTTTCCGAGGGAACCTTACCGTCTGACGCTGAGGACAGCAAGGTTGTTCAGTCCATGGTCTCCACCTTGAAAGCCAACCCTAAACTCATTCCCAAACAAGCCTAGATACAAGAGCCCTTAAGCCCAAATCCGAAGCCTCGCAAGGATTCTCCCACCCTGCAATCAGCCCACATTTCCGCAGCGGGCTGCCGCTGGAGGAGGGTTCAGAGGGGCTGCCAGTCACAACCAACGTTACCAAGAATCATACTTGTAATGAACGCGTTATGAAGGCCAATTAATCCACAAAGGTAGAACTTCAGCGATATCTCGCTGAGACCCCTAGGACTGCTCAATGTTGGAATATGAAGAACCATGCCAATCGTAGCGAGATTGATGTGCGATGCTCAATTGCGAGAAGTGCAATGGTAGCGTTTCCCAGAAGATACGGCCACTTGATGAAGGGGCTTCTGAGGTACCTGATCTTCTGTTTAGTTGTCGGGACCTGAAGACTCAAGCTGTCGGTTAATAGTTAAAGATCCTGGGAGTCTTTCCCATGTCTAAATCATGCTGCAAAGAGGCCGGGTTCAGGAGGATAGGGTCTTGCGAGGGGGATAAGAGTTGGGGGGCGTAGTGCTTTCGGAGGATTGGGGTTAAGTGCGAGTGGGGCTGAGGAATTCTGGTTACATAGCCGGGCTGACTTGAAGGTTCAAGACTACCCTGGCGCCGGTAGAAGCAATTTCAGTCTATAACTATAACTTATAACCGTACTTGGACGGAAAGTTCCCTGATTCATTAGTCGAGCTTTGGCGTTTTATGAGGTAGGGAATGTCGGACTCTCATTTCGGGGTGGCCGCCCGAGGCTCTAGAATTTGAGAGAGGCCAGCTGAGAGATCGTGGCATTCTGGCGCCTTTGGTAAATTTGTTGAGAGTTTAGGCTTTCAGGGAGCAAATGTAGTGCAGGATTGAGGGAGTGAGGCGTATTCGCCCCTGCAGGAGGCAGTAAAGAAGCTGCTGCATCCCGGCAGCATCACGTTGTAAGGATCGACTCAAGGTTCTCTGGAGGCTTGAAAAGGTGCCCTCAAGAAAGGATGTGCTTGATACATTGTGTTAAGACTCCCCGAGCGTCTTAACGCTGTAGAAGTTCTAGAAGTTAAGACTTCTTCCCCAAGCCCTGAACCCTGCTCAGGCAAGGGGCGCGGAAGCGTGACTTCAGCAAAGTTGGTCCTCTTCCCGTCCCTGGGCCTTTCGGGAGTTGTGGGCTGTTCGAAGCTGAGATCCCCAAAGCTGTCGGGTTTTCAGTGTACTCAAGGCCTGCGAACATGTTGGCTGGAAGAGAGAGCCCTAGTGAACAACAGGCAGCATTTTGAGAAGAGAAGAGAGACCCAAGAACCCAGACCCTCAATGGTCGGACCCTGTTGATAAAGCCCGTGAAGAGAGACCATTGATCCGCTAAACCCGACAAGCCCCCTAAAGCTGCGATGTCCGATTACCCAGCCAAGCTCGGAAAATCCGATAAACCCACAAGCCCCGAGCCGGAAAGCCCTGACAACCTGACAAGCTCAGCAAACTCGGTGTGCCCAATACACCCAGAAAGCCCGGCAGCATCATGTTTGTTGTTGATACGGTCATTGTATCGATTGAGTCTTGAAAAAGTCTGAAGCCCCCGAACCTTCAGCCTTGAACCGTGTATCCTACAAACCCGGCCCCGAACCCCTGAAAGCCTAAGCCTGACACCCGAAACCCCAAAGAAAAGAGAACAAACAAGAGTGGCCTCTGCAAAGAATCATCCCATAGACTCTTCCAGGTTCGATGGCACCAGGGCCACTTTCACACCATGGGCGACTTTGTTCTTCGAGATGGTCAATTAGGGGCTTGGGTTCCAAGGGTCTGTCGGTGGAATCTGAGACTGCGGGTTTGGGGTGTCGCGCTCACGAGCTTGAGACTTGTAATTATCGCGGCTGCCTGCGGGAGCTGTCGAAACAAAAATCCATAACTCGCAAGCCCGTAGCCAGATGTCTAAAAAGCCGGCTTAAACCCAAAGCCTCGCTACATCCCCCAAATGCCAGACACTCCGACATCACGTCATGAAAGATCCAACCACTGCTTCAGTTATTTATGACAGAGTTTTCTTGCGTTGATTCTTTGATGATGTATCGTGACAGGGTTTCGGGTTGAGGGTTCCGTATAAGGATCTTTTATCAAGGAAGTTGTTCCCGGTATCTGGATGGAAAGCCGTGTATTAAGGCTTCGACTCCGTCACGAGGTAACTTTAGACCTCAGTCTATCATGGGATTCCGCAGTTGAGGAACAGACTTATTCATTGTTTTTGACACTATGTCAATCCCAACAACAGGTTTCCGTGGCAAGCGGCCGTATTCCATGTATTCCCAAAGGGTTCCTGACGAGGGCATGCTGAACTCTACAGTTCCGGCATGTGTTGTATGTGGGTTCCTAGCCCAGGGAACCGTCGGCTGGCAGTGTACCGGCTCTTCAAGCAGCTTCCCCGAAGTTAGGAGCGAGGAATACACGATAGTGTGGAGCTTCGAGCATTGACGGCTCAGGTGAGCTTTAAGGCTCCTTTGGTTTTTGGGCTCATTTAGAATTTTCGTGTATAGATCGTGACATGATTGAAACAGTTTCTTGAACTGCCTTTGGCATTGTTTCGGCGGTTTTGCATTCAGTTGCTGCTGGCTGTAACCGCCATACATGTGTCATCGTTCGGAAGTTCAGAAGCTGCTGCGGGTGCTCGACACCTGCACTACAATGCAGGGTTTAAGGCGTCGCAGAAGTTCGTTTGCCCTATCTTGTCGTAGCCTCATGCTTGCCAGTTCCGATCCTGCCCCAAATCCTAATACCGAAATCCTACAACACAAGCCCTTGAGCTGAGAATCTGTGGCAGGACGGTTTGGGACTTAGGGTGCAAGGTAGGCATCCAAGGATTTGGGTTCGAGATTGGCGGATTAGACTCATGACTTGTCTCTTGACGACTGCACTTTTGCGTTGGCTGCGCCCATTGTGGAGAAAACATCTCCGTGCGAAAGCCTCGCAGGTCTTGTCCAGTTGGAGTTGACCTAAGCCTGACTTTCATCCGTCTCTACCATTCTAAAACCTAAATCAGGAAAGTCTAGCCCAGAGGTTCCAGCTGCCCTCTGGATCTCATCGCTGTCCGCTCATTCGCGCTCGGCGGGCGACCTTGTCTTGCTTCAGCGCTTGTCGTGCTAGTAGGTTCCAATGATTGCCTGTGACGTGTCCTTCTTCTATACATATTATGTGTGTATCTGCGTGTGCGTGTATATATACCTACATACATACATATCGACATACTCATAAACATGTATACATATGTATGTATGTTTGTATGTATGTATGGATGTGTGTATGCAGGTATTTATGTATGTTTGTATGTATGCATGCATGTATGTATGTATGTATGTATGTATGTATATAGGTACATATGTATGAAAAAGGGCCGGATCAGTCAACGAGCATCCACTTTCGACCATATTTTGTATAGATTCAGACATGCACGCCACCACAACACACATGTAGAAGAACACTCGTAAGAAACGGATCCCTCCCCGGCTTGGTTAAAGCAGCTTGTGCTGCATATGCTGCCGCCGCAACTACCCCTAAGCATTCCGAGCAGATCCGAGCCTGAATAGTTGGAAGAGGTTGTGGTGGAATTCCTAGACCGCAATCCTGGCGTTCAGACCTGAAGGTGTTTATTGCGGTTACAGTTTAGAGCCAAGGAGCTGGAAAACCCAAGCTGGGATTGGTGCTTCGTTGAAATTATCTATGGCAGCCAGGAGTAGAAGATGACACGTGGCCTCTGCAGTCCAAGGTTGCCAGAAATGTCCCAACAAAGGTCCCAGAGTTTGGGGCCTTGGGATTTGATGGTGTTGGTGTGCTGTTAACGGAAGATGATGTCACGTGAAAAAAGAAGATCGAACCGCCAAGATGGTCTCCCGCCTACACCTCGAAGCCTCTTGAGGCGTAGGTCAAACAAACTCCCATAAAATGACCCTGGTTGGCATCCCTAAACCCTAAACCCTAAACCCGAAACCCTAAGAGGCTCTAGCCTTTCCTGATGTATCCATCCTGTGTTGCGAAGCCAAAATGGCCCCAGGTGAACGAAGCCGAGGCGCTCCGGTGGCCATGGAACCGCAAGTTTCAAGTTGACGAGATGGCCGCTCTGAACAGGGAGCGGCAGGTTCGGCCTTTTCAGGTTTTAGGGTTGGAAGTTTAGGATTCTGAGCAGTCTGGCACAGGCTTTTCCCATTCGGACACAGAGCGGATCTGAGGTTCGTTTGGGTTTTCATGGCCAGTTTCGGGGACCTGCAGGGGGAGGCACGTCGACAGGTTTTTGCATTCTTGGTGTCATTGCGGTCTGTTTGTCATAATATGTGCTGCCAGTCTGGCTGTGGATTCTTCAACCATCCTTCTTTGTCCATTGAAGCTTTTCCGATGCTCGAGAGGGGCTCCAGCACGGGTATCACAGACGCGACTAAGGAAGGACGACGAGTTCGCGTCCGAGAAGTGGATCAGGTCAGATGTCATGACTGGGTATTGCTCCCCAAAAGCTGCGGTTGACAAGCCGCAACACCTCAAACCCCACCATACTGTACCGTATTTACCGTTAAAAGCCAACATGAACCTCGCCATCCTTGGAATGTAAGCATCCCTCTGACCGTCAGTTCTTCTCATTATCCGCAATGGCTACCGTTGTACTTGTAGCAGCGGCTGCGGTCGTCGTCGTCCAGTAGTAGTGTAGTAGCAGTAGTAGTAGTGGTAGTAGTAGTAGTAGTAGTAGTAGTAGCAGCAGCAGCAGAAGTAGTTCTAGCGGTAGGGGCAGTAGTTGTCGTAGTATGACAGTAGCTGATATGTGTATCTTCGCCTAGCAAGCTTCTTTTTGGACCGTTAGCTCCGTCAATGTAAAGCCTAAACGATGACACTGTGCCCCAACCCCCAAACCTACTTGAAGGATGTTGGGTAGCCATAAGCAGGATCATACTTGAAGAAACCTCCGAAGGGGTGCGTGTACGCCTGCGTCAAGTATGAACCCATCAGATACCTCTGGACCTTCAGTACATTTTCAGGAGCTCCCTAGAAACCCCTAGAGTAATCAAGCCTCAACAAGCCCTAAGTCCTTACTTCAGCCGTTCCGTTTGTGGTCTTGATAAACGCCTCCTAGCCGTTTCAGGGTTCGCGAATTGGGTTTAAAGCTTATAGGTGTAAGCATGATCTTGCTATAAAGAGCTTACAACATCGGTTTGGAAATCTTCATGTGTGTCGCAGTGTAGGGTTTAGGGTTTAGGGTTTAGGGTTTAGGGCCTTGTTACCAGGTAATTGGGGAGACGGCCGAGGAGACGACGTTTTCCTTGGCATGATCCACGCGTCTGAGGGGCCCAGCTGTGAATGGATTTACTGGGCTCCACTTGGGGGTTTCCGAAAATTAGGGTATCTGATTTTGGGGTCCTTATAATAAGGATCCTATTATTTAGGGTACTATATTAGGGCCCCCTATTTTCGGAAACTCCCACTTGCGACATGTCGGGTACTCGTAGTGATTTGTGCTACACATGAGATGTCAGATGCGAATTCAAGGTGCACTAAGACAATTCGATGGCCAGGCCAGCAGGCTCCCCTCGCACGAAGTATCCGAGAGGTCAGAGGTTTCAGTTTGGAAGAGTTTAGCAAAATATACACATGCGAGCGTGCAGCGAGGATTTGCAGCGGCCTTGCACGGGGAGCCTAGAAGCCTGCGAAGACCGCTTCGACTCATCGGACTGGACCAGACGGGAAGCAACGAGAAAGCGAATTGAAGCAGTTTCAGGCATTGTGTGAGTTGGACACTGCACTCAAAAGCTGGCGTTCTCTGCCGTGCCTTCGGCCCCAACATGCCCGGAGACGCCGAGAGCGTTTTGCATCTTTCATCTTGTAACTCTCATTTACCGCCATGGGCTACCTTGCGAGTTGGGCGTGGTTCTTGCTCGCCGTTGAATTTGCCCTGCTACGTGGAGAGGAAACATGCTCAGATTCAGAGCAGATTGGGGGTGCCTCCCTGCTCTCTGCGAAAGTGACGCGGGGCCGTGTGGGAGATGTCAGCTCTGAGATCAACGAATCCATGACGGAAATGCTCCGCGACACTTTGCAGAGGGACGCCAACGACACATCGGGGTTCCCCGATGCAGAAGCCAATAGCTCGCACGATCACCATCATGGCTTGGGCGGGCTATCGAAGCCCTTCGAGTTCCTGTATGCCAAGGCAGGTTGGTCTTGCAGAAGATCCATCAGCAAACAGAAGGCAGATATAATATATGTATATATATGTATATGTATATATATATATATGTATATATATATATATATGTAGAGGTTGTGTACGGTCGGAGTGGTCGCTTTAGCATTGCATGCCTGAGGTCGCAGAGCTGGAGACGGCGATACAGCTGCAGAATTTGGAAATCAAGGCCTTATCGGAGAAGCTCGAAGAGAAGTCGCAGCAGGTGGCCGCACTAAGCGCCACGGTGGAGTTCCATTCCCAGCTACTGGGTTTTTAACTTACCATAATAGGGATCTATAGTAAGTGATATGGTTTAATCCTGTAACAAGAACCCAGGCTGCCAGACCATGGTCGCGGTCATGACCCCAAGAAGCTGGCGACAAAAGTCTCGAAGGCAAAGGCTGATGAGCAGGCAAAGCACAAGAAACATCGCCACCAGGCTGGGTTGCCACAAGTTTTCAACCTCTGCTCTTCGTCTCGTGGAGGCTGCATCGTGCAGGCCAAAAACAAAGAGACTGCTTCTCGAAATCCCTGTCAGGTCGCACAATTGCAGAAAGATGAGTCGGTCAAGGTTCTTCGCGCGGTGCTGGGCAAGCATGCGCACCAGCATCGGCATGGGTTTGTCAAGCCGGTACCTGGGGCAAACGCGTCAGAAACCACAGTGGCACCAAGAGATGCGCGGCAGAGTTCGGCATCAGAAGGACTTCACGAGTCTCAAGAGCAATCGCTTAAGATGAGAGCCGGCTTGCTAGACGAAGGCCGGTTGTAGTTCGGGAAAGGGCCTGAGGTTTGGTTCAGGGTCAGTCTCTTAAGACACTTCTGGTTAGTCTCTTAAGACACAGCTGATTATAGACCCCGCAGAGCAGGCATTATTGGGAAAACCGGGTTTTTGCATTCCTTGGACTTGTGTATACATTTGGGACTGCCTTGGGCAGTTTTGAATTACATAGGCTCCAACTACACCCCTCTCACCCTACCCTAAACCCAAAACCCCAGTGCAGGTGCGAGTGACCATCTGGAGTTGGACAAAAGTGTGACCTCCAAAGATCCTTTTGGGGCTCTTTCCGATGCCTACAACGCCGCAGCAGACCAGGCACGGACTTCCCAAACTTGGCCTCTGGTTTTGGTTATAGAACCCCAGTAATTATTTCGGCTCTATCGTAGTATGGCTATAGAATCATACAGAATCCCAGAAATTATCTATATAGGCCCCATCGTAGTATATACGGGTATGTAATTTGCTGAGCAGTCAGGTTTCTTTCGTCGCGAACACCGTTATTGACACCGTGGAAGCGGCCATGGCAATTTTGCTGCAAGGCTTCGATCTGAGTGCCGGCTGCCCTCATTCCTCCGCGCCGTCGGCCGGTGCGGACGAGAACGGAGTCAAGATCGATTTCGGAAGGCAGAACTCGACATGAAGGGCTTGGGTTGCAGGATGAGGGGTTCGGAGTTTTGGGGTCCCTAAACCCTAAACCCTAAACCCTAAACGTGATAGAGTGGTAGAAAAGAAAGTGCGCTTGAGAGGCAGAGGTGCGAGATGACTCTGGTTGGCCAGACAGTTCAGCTCTTTGACTTCGATTTCGGAGCAATTCAGCTGCATTTTTAATAGACAGCTTAAGTAATTAGATGTGTTGAAAAATGTGCAACCCAGGAGAAGTCTTTCCCATGGTTTGGACCCCTGGCCACCCTGGCCAAGTTGGGTTTCGCCGTTGCCGACTGCGCGACACAGAGCGGCACAACTGCGTTGGTTTGCTTTGCGAAAGCCTTTGGTAATACTCTTCTCGAAGTGGTCCCGCCCTTTAGCATGCTCACGCAGCTGAACCGGATCATGGAGGAGTTCATCGCGCTGTTTGCGCTCATGGCCGGCAAACTGATCGAGAAAGCCTTGGGTGACAGCACGAGCCTTATCCAAGAGGCCGTCCAAACGAAATTCCCCGAGGTTGGCGCCGCTGCAATGGTGAAAAAGTACAGCAAAAACTTGGAGCTTCGCCTCAGTAGCCGCCACGGTCCCAAAAAGCACGCGGCAGCGGAGCACTCGGAGCTCTCAGCTGACCCTTCCCTGCTCCAACGCCAAGGCCGAAGGGATGCGCTGCACAGCCGAGGGGAGGGCGATGACAAGCCGAAGGGTGCCCTTGGCTTCGGCGCAACGGATTATGTCCCCCAAGTGCACAAGCTCATCACGCAGTTCAGCGGAGTGGAGACAGACTCCGGCTCCTGCCTAGCCTTTGCCCCAAGCATTCGAGGAGGACCCGGAAACACGGTTCTGCCGAGGGATTGGCAGACACCGGGCCAGCAAAGCGACAGTGTGCCAGAGGAGTTCATCAAGTTGGAGCCTTGGGCTGTTCCGTGTACCAACGAGTGGATGAAGGACAACCCAAGCAAGTGGGAAGGATATTCCTTCTACACCTGGGAATCGCCGGTGGAAAGGTGTGCCACTGTTGTGTACAGTTTGTCACTTCAGCCTGTCATCGCCTTCGTTGGCGGCTTGGAGTTCGACATCATGCCTGCACCCATAGCCGAGGCAGGGCTGATGTTGCGTGCGGATGGCGTGAAGATGTGTGAACTTGGGCCCTGAACCCTAGGATCCTTATATCATATACCTATAATATTTACTTAATCTACACCTAGTACCCTGAACCTAGGATCCTTATATCATATACCTAATATTTACCTAATCTACACCTAGTACCTTATACCTAAATTTAAACCCTTTAGGGCCCCTTGAAAGGGAATCCTTGAGATGACTCTGCTTTCAGGTGGAGACCTTGGTCTGCTGGCCAGAGACCCAGCCTGGCGGTGAGGGGCCGAGTCGCTCTGTTTTTGTTTTTCTTTTTTCTTGCTCTTTCAAGGGGATTGGTCATGGTTTCTATAGGGCTTCTAGAAGGGTACCTTTTTGGGTAGATCCTTAAATTAGAGCTAGATGGCTGCTCTCTTTCCTCCATGTTTTCTTAGTCAGGCTGTCGTGAACTGTGTCTTGAGGTGTGGACCTCAGCGCCATAGAAATGCACATCAAGTCGGGCGGAGTGCCGCTGCTAACGAGAACGCTTCGCTTGAAGAAGCGCTTCGGGTCCGGAAATGCTGACTTCAGTGGTGAGAACATCAAAGCGACGACGGCCAGCGGGAAGCTGAACTTCGGTGTGCCCGAGGATGGCGCCGATGACTCGGGCCTGAATGCCATGTCCAGGGAGTCTTTGCTTGAGGCCAACTCGAGTCGAGGTCGCCCGGAGGGCTTCGCTGGCTTCGAGGTTGAGCAGACGGGCTTTCTGGCCTCCATGGTGTACGACATGCTGTCGGGACCCAATGTCACCGGCTCTTGGCATGGTGCAGAGGCAGCCAAGAGGCTTCGACCGCTCTTTCCGAAGGACTCCGCCGGCACATCCTTCGTGGAGTCGCAGCAAGACGAGCATGTCCTCTTTTCGCTGACCAGCCCAAACAGTGGGCTGGTTGGCTTCGAGACCTACGGCCTCTTGAGCAACAGCAAGTTGCAGTTGGGTGTGCAGCTGCAGCCTGGCCTGACTCAGGGTCTCTGATGCCAATGTAGGCCAATGTAGGCCGGAGTCGCAATTTGTTACACCCTAAACCCTAAACCCTAAACCCTAAATGGTACAAGCCGAAGCCGCTTCTTTCCGCTGTCCGAGGCAGTTTGGGCCCTTCAGCACCTCGCGGAAGACCTACACCATCCTGGACTTGAAGACCCAGCTTGCAGCCATCCTCGCCGCCCCTGGGTTCTTGTTATAAGCGACTTAATTTCAGGTACCATATTAAGGAAACCATAATATTTACTTATAGATCCCTACAGGGGTAACTTAAATGAAATTCCTTAATTAACAAGAACCCAGGCCATCCCCTTCATCTCCCCGGCCAGCAAAGCTACGGCGGTGCAGGCCATGTCAGACTTCGATTCCTTGGCAGCAACTGTGGTGCCAAGCTCCCCATTGGCGCCATTTTCACGCTTAGCTGAGTATTGGATCTTCGCAGGCAGTCATCGGCAAGCGGAGAGAGGGAAAGCGCTGTTTTGGGACAATGGCCCTCAGACCTACCCCTTCGACGAAGACTCCAGCAAAGTGTGGCGTTTGCTTGCAGACGGGCTTGGTGAATACTGGCTCGTAACAGGTGATCACCAAAATCCATCCGGCAACATGGTCTACCTGAAAGACGACAAGTATCAACTGCACGCATTCTGGGAGGACCTCCAACCTTTTGGATGAGTAGTGGTGGATTTGGGGCAGAAGGGCCCGCCATAAAGGTACTAGTTGGGGTTTATGAATGTGAGCACTACTCAAAGGTGGCAGTGTCTTGATAAGGCTCAAGTCGTACACTGCTCTGCTGGACTATGCTAGGATAGATGCTGTATGATTCGTATGATGTTATGCAAGCTTTACTGTAGAACTACTGCGGGACTCGTGATACATAACCACCCCAGAAGTCTTTTTGGCCGGAAGATTTTGGGTACACCCAAGCATGATTAGAAGGTCTGGGTGCCGGCATTAGTACTGCTCGCGAGCAGTAGCGGTAGTGGTTGCGGTAGCGGTAGTGGTAGTGGTAGTGGCGTAGTAGTAGTAGTAGTAGTAGTAGTAGTAGTAGGCGCCCCCCCTACCAACTACACTTGCTTAAAACCATTTTAAGAGCACATACGTTTTACTCGGTATTTACAGCACTTTCGTCATGTACGATCATCATAAGAGGCCTCAAAATCCACTTGCCGAGTTTGCTAACTCGGCCTCTTGATTTTGGACTTGCTGCGGGGGGGGGGGGGGGGGGGGTGGGGGGGGGGGGGGGGG